GGCTTTCTCGAGGAAAATGCCTACTCAGAATATTATAACTTCGTCATGAAGTGTTAGATTTTTTTAACAACAAAAATTCCGATTTGAAAAAATATTTTTGTGGCAGTAAATGATTAATAAGGTTGGCATATTATTTAACTTTCTACTAAAACGATATAATTTAAAATATAAATTATGAATTGAAAAATTTCAAATTTTGAGTATACATGGCATTCATTTTCAAGTAACTCTGATGGGCCAACTGTCCAAGAGTCCAAATCAAGGTTTAAAAAGAGAAAAAAATTTCCAAGAGGCCAATTTTGTCAACAAGTATTAACTGTGAGTCAGCATGTTAGTAATTTTTTTTTTTTTTAATTTTATTTCCATTTTATTTTATAATTTACAACTATTACTATTGTAGTATAAAATATTTTATGAAATATTCCTAATTAAATACTTAGTAATTGAATTGTAAAATTAACCAAATTATACTGAATTGCTAACTGCCGAGTGCTGATAACGAGGTTTTGAATGACGATTGATATTTTATATAAATAATATAAATTTAAAATAAAAATATCCATATTATTCGACTTGCATTGTTATAATTCGTCGTCATTAGCCGCAACCCGCCGGCACATCTGATCAACGACAACCCGAATAACCGATTATTTATAGATTTTACTGTCCACGGAGGTTGATTTTTTAATTACAGTTATCGTTATTTCTTATTGATAATTAATATTATTATTCAGTTTCTGTTGTAGACAGTGGCGGACTGGCCCAGGTGAAGAGCGGAAGAAATACACTGGGGCCGCTGTCGTGAGAGGCCCTTTCATCATGGTGCACTTTTAATAAAAATGTATTATATTATAATATTATATTCAATTATGCTGTAGTTACTAAATTAACAATAATAGATAATAACACATAAATACACAATCCTGGGCCACGAATTTTTTTACATAATATTATTATATACTTGTAATATCGTAGATATATCTACATTTTGCTAATATACCTAGTAATATATAGCAAGTATAGATCTTGATCAATTAAAACTGGAACTTCAACATTTTTCAAAAGTCTACTCAAACATATCTAATTTAGTAGAAAAAAGAACAAAATTAATATACTCAGAGTCCGAAACCAAAGTGAAAAGTGACATGGAAATGTAATTAGAAAACAAAGAAGTTGATGGGATCTATAAAAAATATAATTCCTTGTAAGATTGATAGTTCATTCAAGTAGAATGTTCATTTAATCATGATAAATAATATTGTTGTTTATAGTTTCAAGTAATGCAGTTTACAGTAACCACAACAAGAAAAATTGCTTGCATAATGTCCAAGTTTGATACATAGATGATATTGATATATAGGTAATTTAAATTTACATCTGTCTGCTTATAATACACTATGCGGAGCGTATGCATTTTTTTTAACTTTATCAGTTACAGAAGTTATCTGTGAATATACATTTAGTAAGCTGAAACTTATTAAAACTAGATTAAGATCCAATTTAAATCAGGAAAATTTGGAGTCTCTGCTTTTAATGTCAGTAAAAAAAATAGCTGTTGAATGAAATAGATGTGTCGGAAGTCGTTAACTATTTAAAAGAATCATCCACCGTTACCTATGCATCAAATGTTGAATTTATAAATTTAAATTTAAATAATAAGCATTTGATATTTCATTCATTTATTTGTTACCTATTATACTCGTATTATTACTATAAACTATTTATGCGAAAATAAGGAATTCACTATTTTGTGGTAACTAATAATGTATTTGATTAATTGTTGTGCTCAGGGACGCCCACAGAAATGTAGCTCAGGGGGGGCAAAAAAATTGTAAGTACCTAAATACTTATAGGAAGATTTACTGCTACATATTTCATCTACTCATATTTTGATATTTTGTATTACTATCATTAATAATTTTTTAAAAATCAAAACTCATTTAAGTTTATATAAAATTACATTATTAGTTATTAGTTTTCATATTTATAAGAAAAAATATAATAAAGTTTAAACAAAAAACAACTTTATTTGATTGAATCCGCATCATATTTTATTATTTTATTCAAAAAGTAATGACTCCTTTTGTTTGAAGCAAATAAATTAATTGAATCATCATTTGTTGATTAAAAAAATGTTAGATACTTGTTAGATACAAGGATTGTCGAATAGTCACTGAATACCCAAGATCAGCTTTATGTAAAATAACTTCCAATTTTGTAAGTGACGCGAAAATCTCAGGGGGGGCAATGGCCCTGTTTGTGCTGCAATTATATTTGACGTAAAAAAAGACTAAATCTAGTCATCTAGGGTCTTTATAATTGTACGTAAAGGCTGTTAAATTTGCCAATCACAAGCTCGGATTTAAAGGGGGGGGGGGTAGGCAGAGGAGGCCATGATCACGGGTCCACAACGAATATTAAACAATAGTAGGTTCCTGGTGGTTAGTAGGTTTTTCGTTTTTTAACTCTTTTTAGCTCGTATAAAGAACAAGTATAAAATAGTATTCAGTTTTATGGTTTTGTGTTCAGAGTAATGTTTTAGAGGCAATTAATACCGATGATATAATTAAAAAGTTTGCTTTCCAAAAAGAAAGAACAAATTATTAATATAAATAACATTTTCATTTTTTGTATTAAAAAAGCAAGAACTAAATTTATAAATTAGAATATAATTTTTTTTTTGTCTCTGAAGTATATTTATGAGTAGGTCATCAATATTTTGATTATGGTTATGGGCCTCTAAAATTTTTTGGCCTCGGGCCCCAAATTATCATAATCCGGGCTTGGCCAATCATAAGCGACATAGGCGAAAATCCACTTAATATTCTGGGGGTGCTAAAGTCCCTCCAAAATTAACTTATCAGTAACCCGTGGGGAGCTTTGACTATCACACTCCCCATTAATCTCAAATACTCTGCCAAATCTTTAAAAAAAATATTAAAATAAACAGAAAAAAATTCATAAAAATAAAAATTTACTTATAAAATAATAATAGGTACATAATATAATTAAGAATTTTATTATATAATACTAGGTCGGAACAGCACAAATACACAATGATTACTAATATATCATTAGCAAGGGCTCGGGAGTTAAAGCATTTGCTTATTTTTATGGATTGACTTAAAATCTAACAGAGTGCTATAAAATTATATGTCAAGTTATAACCCGTACAATTATGAAATTTGAAAGTGCTTTTTTTTTTTTTTTACTTTTTTCAGCTTTTTACTTTTAACTTTTTACTTTTAATTTTTCAAAAAATGCTTATTTCCAGTTTTTCTGATTATTTTTGCTTATTTGACCAGTTTTTATTACGTTTTTATAGTTTTCTCCTGCAAAGTCGTTTTTAATGGAATTAAAATTAAAATTAATTTTTATCTACATTGTCGCGTAGTTCATTGTCATCAAAGCATCGTTGTAGGGTTCTAACACTGAAAATAGAACTGTGTGTCAAACGTCAGAATGATCAAGAACAGAGAGAATAGTTTACATTTTATTTTTAAAAAAATCCCTTATCAAATCCATAAAATCCTTAATGTTTTAAAAGTGAAGATTTATTTTTATTTTGTTTGATTTTTTTGTTAGAATTTTATAGTTTTTTTTTTTTTATAAATATTTTTTGTTTAGTTTTAAATTTTTTAATTGCTTATTTTAGTACTTATAATGATGTTTTTAAGTGCTTATTTTAATAATTTTAAGTGCTATATTTCCCAAGCCCTGATCATTAGTTATCTGAAAAATAAGCACCTAATAAATTGTTGTCTCAGTAATATCTAAATATAGACATAAAAGATTTTAAGTAAATGATATAATATTATGAATGATGATAAGTATTATTTATTTCTAGAATATATTGGCCATGCTAAACACCCTTTTAGGAGATTTTAGCTTATGATAAGCGAACATAGCGAGCTGCAAATTTTTTGATCACACAAAAAAAAAATGTGAGCCGCTCAAATTTTCTCCACCCGGGCCGAAGTACTCTCAGTCCGCCCCTAGTTGTAGACGTTTTATTATTACAATTTACAACGTTTTACATTGTAATATTATAGACTGTTATTATGTAATAACATTGATTATAAAATGAATAATTTATAATCGATGATAATATTTATTAGGTTATATTTACGTCTAATATTTACTATTAGTACTCGGCCCATCGGGAATTTGTCTGAAAGACTGAAATTGTACCCCAGTGGGAAATATGCAATATCATCCAGAATCACCAGCCACACTAAAATTAGCAATGAATTATGAAATTTTCATATTATCTGTTATACTAATTTTTTTGTGTTTTTTTTTATAATTTATTTTATTTATTTATTATGTATTTATTATTCAATATTTTATTTTATAAAAATTCAATGATAACATTCATTATAATAAGTTTATTTATGTCATACTTAATTTTTTTTTTTCAGGGGTTGCGTACCTAATAAATATTAAATATATGGATCGTCATTGCAAAAAGTTTAGGAAACATTGCCATAGAGTATACTACATATACACCCAGGGCTGTATTAGGGCATAGGTACTATTAAAAAATGTACGGGAATACTATGTATACTCTCAAGTCTCAAGTATTTTGCTAAGAAGTATTAAATATAATATGTTTTACAGATTTTAATTATGGCATTATTTCGTAATAGACAAGTTCAGTTCATTTAGTTTTACTTCAGACGATTAGTGTATTACTATGAAGTAATTATTGATATTATTACCTACATATATATATATATATATATACGATATATATATATTTACGATGATATCAATTTATTTAAATAACTTTAATTTCTGTTAAAAATAAAAATGTATGTATTTTAAATTGTTAATATTTAATATTCCACCACCATATTTAATGGTAGGTACTATTCTTATGAAAACTAATAACATGCAGTGTAGCTGCATAGGAGAAATAATATGTCGATCAGCTGTGTGCCCGTGCATTTATACGTGTATATATATGCTGTGAACTACGATGTGTTAAGTTACTATCAGCTGGTGCTGTTGTGGTTGCTAAAGAATAATGCTCTGTAATGTGTTGCTGAAAAATTTGGATTTTTCATTTTCATTTTCATCTGTTTTTATTGAGTGTTATTTTCTCTAATATAAATTAGATTGGTTTGATTTCTTATTGATTGACTTTCTTTAATAACTAATTTGTTATTTCATTTTGTAAAACGCTTTTACATTATGTCGGATTTGAAGTCATTGGAACATCCAACATTAAAGGTGAATATTAAATTTTATATTCTGCATGTAAAAATAAAAATGGTAAGATTAAATTTCATAAATATTAAATTTATTTAGTATTGAAAATACCTATAAAATTACTATTTTTTAAACTATTTTTAAACTTATTTTTTGACAATTTTATTTAATTTTAATGAATTAATTACAATCTAAATCTTTTTAATCGTAGGTTCCATATGAAGTTCTTAATAAGAAATTTCGTACAACACAAAAAATACTTGACCGGGAGGTTTCACACTTTCAAAATGCTGTCCAAGAATTTGAACGTAATATGTCATCAGATGTTGATATGACAGATACCTCTCATATTTCTTCATTGCTTAGTGGCATGGTAGAAAAACTAAAAGTGCTCAAAAGAAAGGTCCAATTACTTTATACTAGTATTTTATCTGTTTATATTTAAATTGTATTAAATATTTTAAATAGGCTGATGAAGGTATAAATGATGAATTACAAGCTGGTATGGTATGTAAAAAACGATTGGAACATTTAAAAGAACATAGCTCACCTTGTGAAGCCATTGTCCAAAATTGGCGTCGTCGTCGATTGGATCGTATGTTAGTCGAATATTTTTTACGGTGTGGTTATTATAACTCAGCTAATAAACTGGCCAACTATTCAGATCTTAATGATCTTACAAATATAGGTATAATATAGGTATATTTTTTTTAATTTACCAAGTGAAATAATTAATTATTATGTCATAAATTATTTTTTTAGATTTGTTCATGATATCAAAGGAAGTTGAACAATCATTAGCTAACCATGAAACTGCAAAATGTTTAGCTTGGTGTCATGACAACCGGTCAAAATTACGTAAATTAGGGTCAACTATGGAATTCAATTTACGAATACAAGAATTTATTGAACTTGTACGTCAAGACAAACGTCTTGATGCTGTTAAGTTAGTATAAAATTTGTTTTTATTTATGATGTTTTTTTTTTTTGATTTGCAGAATAATTTTGATGCTCAAAATAGAAAAAAAAAACCATAACTTTATATTAATTAAAATGTATATATTTATTAACTATAAGTTATATGTAGGGAACGGATTTATATGTAATAAAAATACAGAAATATGTACATATATAAGTAAGTATAATTTATAAAATATGTGCTAAAAATATCCAAATATGTGGGGAAAAAAATTTTTAAAAAAAAGTGATTATTATTATTAAATTATCAAAAAGATTTGTTGCATTGAATTATTTCAATATCTTGTAAATTATCAAATGTTAAATGTCGCCTATTAGGTATCAAAATATTTTTAAAACGGCTAAATTATCGTTTCACTTCAACCGATGTATTAAAAGCATATTTCAAGTGCATACTATCAGAAGGTGATAATTCCAAATTTTTAAAAGGTTGTCTGCCATTCATTATGTGATTGATTGTTTTAAAATCAATATTGCCTGGAATTTTTTTCTGTAACAGCATGAATTTTCTTTTTTACAACATCTATTGGTCCGCTTACGAGTTTTAATCGCTGATTCAACAATTTGCATACTATCATTTGGGGACATATTTTTTATATTTTGTTAAATTATTTTTAATTAAAATTAAATTATTTTCAATGTTTCATTTTGCATAATATTTTGAGCTTTTCCAATAGCGATAAAAGTTTCTGGATCTAATTTTGAAATAATTTCTTGTATTTTCGTACGAAGAAGACGTATGAGTGATGAAATGATAAAAATATGTTTAAAAATATTTAAAAATTAGTGAAATATGTAAAAATATGTAAAATAAAAGTATCATAATTTTAATAGGAATGATTTAAATCATAAACATTTCTTATCGAATCTTAAATATCTTGTTTTAATAAAAATATGCATTTACATATAAATCTGTTCCCTAGTTATATGTTACTGTCTATAGTAATAAAATTATATTTTAAGACTGTTTTTACATTCATACTAACAATTTGATGAAATAAAAAAAAAAAACTAAGTAATCATTATTATTGAAAATTTAATATTACCGTAATATGGCAGCTAATTTTATAAGCAATGCCATGTTCATGAATCTTGTTTTAATGTAAACAATAATATTATTGATTTGCTTATCAATTTGTTCATTTTTAATACCTTTTTTGAGTATAATAGCAACAATAAGTCAATATTTCTCAATTTAACTACTTTATTGAAATGTTGATATTTTGGTAAAATATCATTTTAAAAATTATAAAATTTTTTGCATTTTTAAGTGTAAATTTTTTTCTTATTGATTTTGGAATTTTTATACTATATACAATAAATATATGTTATTAGTTAAATTAGTAATTTAGCATTGGAAATTAATGATAAAAGAGATATTAGATAATAATAGATGGATGAAAATTAAGGAACATTTTATATTGTTTTGAGTTCATAGATAAAAATATTTTAATTGATTCTGAATTTTTATAGTTTCATAAATATTCAGTCCTGACTTAATGAAGTTGTTAAAACTTTGACATTGAACTTACTTTATATTTTAGACACGCTAGGAAGTATATATCTACTTTTGAAGATACTCGTCTGGATGAAGTACAATTATGTATGGTTTTATTGGCTTTTCCTACTGATACTGGTAATTTTTTTTATAATTAAAATTATAGTTAGAATAATGTTGAATTGTTTAATTGATTTGATGGTTCAATTGATTTAGCTCATTTCAATTTTTCATTATTGTGTGTATTTATAAGATAACTTTTTTAATTATTTAGCTAAACATGTCTTGTCTCAAAGCATGATGAGTTGTTAATTATAAGTATATTCTAATTTACAACCGTAGTTTTCATTATTTCACTGTTGAGGTGTAAGTATATTCTACATAGTGGTTTTCCATTTTTTTCTTAATAGGAAAATCAGTTTCTTTCTAGACAAATTATTTGCCTGCTGAGAGAGACTACCTGAGTGATTCTAACTGCCTTTACCTCAGTATTGCCACCTCATTCCACTTGGCTTCTCTGTCCCACTTGTATAGTGACTGCATTTTAAAATAATATAAAATATTTTATTGTAACCATTATAATTTTAAAATCTATAGAAGTAATATTATATTTTCATTGGAGTATTTTTTATGTATTCTTGTTTTCAATATCTTTGATTAGATGTACAAATTTCAAATATTACTGTCAATCAAAAAATAAAGCTTATGAAAATATTTTTCTTATGCTTGAAACCATTGGACTATTTAGAATTAATCCAATATTCAATAAATTATAATAAAAAATGTGTATATATTCAAATACTGTTTTTTATTTATTATTTTACTTGTATTTTAGATGCTTTGATTTTGAACCTATATACGTTCTTCTCAGCATACATTTATCACTACTTTTTCTTTGTGAAGTTTTATACTTCAACTGTAAATAATGATGCATTATTAAATAAATTATGTTTGTTAAATGTTATAAATTATTATTTTCAGAAATATCACCTTATAAAGAAATGTTTGAAGAAACTCGTTGGTTACGTTTAATTGATCAATTTCGCCAAGAAAATTACAATCTATATCAATTATCATCGCAGTCAGTATTTACTGTTGCATTGCAGGCTGGGTTATCTGCTCTTAAAACTCCATATCCTTTTATTTTATATCTAACAGTATATTTGTGTTTAATACTGTATATTATTTAGGAATTAGTAACCAGCATTTATTGAAAGTTAAAAGGTTAAAAGAATTAATTAAATTAGTTCGTTTAGTGGATAATAACAGACAATCAAAGAGGATATGAGATACAAGATAATAAGATAATGTATATCATAATAATTATATACTTATAAGACATAAATCTCAAATACTTTCTTCTGTTTGGAATGTGCAAAAGGAGAATTATTTAAATTAAATTTACATGCACGAGAGTAAAATAAAGTATAATCTAAATTTATAATAGACGATCTGTTGTTTGAGATATTGGAAACAAATATTTTATATTTAAATTTAGTAGTAAAGCATTCACAATATAAGTAATATTTATTATATAATTAATTAATAAATTGGGGATATAAATATTTTATATTTTAATAATGTGCAGAGTTGATAAGTTTTAAAATTGTTAGATATCAATTTATTATAAAATAATAATATATATTTTTTAATGAATAATATGTAAGAAAATTTAAAAAAAAAATTTAATAGTGACGTTAAATTGTTAAACTATTTTCAGTTTAAGTCATGTTTTTTTTATAAATCTTTAAAGAATTTTAATGAAGTATATATTTCCTTTTCCTTAACTTTAACCTCCTCAGTGTTACAGTGAACTCAAAGAAGCTCGTAATGCTAGTTGTCCAGTTTGTCAAGAGTGGTTTAATATGCTAGCAAGACCACTACCATTCGCACATTGTAGTCAATCTCGATTATTTTGTTCAATTTCAGGACTTCCATTAAATGAAAATAATATACCTATGGTATTACCAAATGGATATGTCTATGGAGAACAGGTATTTATTATTATAATTTTTTTTTTTTCATCATAAATATTAATACATTTTTATCTCATTTAAAGGCTTTGGTAGAAATGGCAAATAAAAATAATGGACAGATTATTTGTCCTAAAACTAAAGAACTATTCTGGCTGAAACAAGCAGAAAAAGTTTATGTAATGTAATAAAATATATATTTAATGATCATGTGCCATTTAAGGTTATCATTTATATATATATATATATTTTTTTTTCTAATTAATGTCTACCTATTTTTTGTTGTAATTTCAAAATCAATTCTTTTAAAATTTGGTTATATTGCATGCATTAATTTCCTTAATGTTTTATATAAAATAATTGTTTCCAATATTTTAACTAGTTGGTTAACTATTTATTTTTGATTATTTCCTATTATTATTATATTCTAAAATTAAAAAATGTTCAATATTAACTCCCATATGATAATCATATTGACAGTATAACTGCTATAAATTGTATGTACTACATATTTATACGAAAAAAAAAATGAGCAATAATCTAAATATATAAATATAATAAATGTATGTGTAATATAAAATAAAACAGAATATCATATTTGTATTGGTAATTATTAATTTCTAAATGTAAACCTATTTAATATTTTAAAATTTAAGATATGTTTTTTAAAAAAATAATTAATTGTATGTTAATTTTATATTACTTATTTTAATAGTTTACTAGAACATAATTTTCATGATTATTTATTTATATTTTATAAACTATTCATTATGGATGTTTATTTTAAAGTTTGTTTTTTGAATTATTATTTACAAAATACTAATGTATTTTTGTTGCTTTAACTTATTTGATATTTTAATCTTTTTTGGACATTAATAAGGCTACTTCTTTAGTAAAAAAATGTGGTTTAATCCAAGTTTAAAAATAAAAATGTATGACTGAAAAATTATTATTTGCCTTGATTTTGTGTATTTTTGTTTTACCTAAGTATAATGTATAGAATAATAATATACATTAATAATATACATTACAATAAAATCAATAATTTCAAATTTTTTATTACGCTTTATTATCTTTTATTTTTATTACTTTTCTTACATTAGTACTCAGAAGAAGAAGAATAATTTCAGATTTGATTCATATAGTTGTTTTTAAAAGAAATTAGAACTAAAAAAAATATATAAATGTAAAATTGTTAAATTATTATGTAATACATATTAAAATTCTCAAGAAGTTCAAATTACATTGATTTGTTTTTCATTCCACCAAATGAAAAAACCGTGGTAACGTTTTAATAATATACATATATTTTTTCTATTTCTTCTGTTATAATAATTATTTTTATAATTATAAAATATATTTCTCTGATCGTAAGCCGATGAATAACATGAATATTTGAATAAAGGAGGGAAAGTACGAAAAAGTGAAAGAGGACAACAGATAGCGTTGTAGTAGCGCGGGCTTGTAAACGCGGTCATCGATGTTCACCGATGACTGTCCGCCATTTTCCGGCGGCTGTTTTTATGTTTGTCTCGCGCACACACAACAGTTTCGGCCGCCGTCTAGCCAACATAACCTGCTTGTGCAGCCGTCGCTGCCTCCGCCGACGACGACGACACTGTTATCCGTTACGACCACGACGATTGACCACTATTCTTAAAAGTGCGATCGCGTACGGTGTTTTGTTATTTTTGCGCAACCCGCTTTATATTTTTTATGTTCGTTTACCGGTAAAAGCCGCCGTCTCGCGCCCGTCGTGTGATACGTTTTTACTAGATATCACACACACGCACGTCATATATACAGATATTATATATATATATAATATTCGTATCGGTAATATTATTCGCCGACTGGATCCGATTCGATGCTTTATGAGTTAGTGCGTGCCATTCGACGACGATATCATTGCCGTATGCGCCAACGTGAATTCCGTGGATTATTTTAGAGCTCATCGATTCGAGCACATACCTTTCCGTAACAAAACACTGTGCGCGTGGTTATTATCACCGTCGGCTCGCCACACGGACGCTGTCGATTACACCGTTATTGTAATACCGAATTGTCGCTGACGACGCTACCGCAGCAGCAGTTACCGTCGTGCTCGTAAACTAGGTAAGCTATGTTCTCAATGTCATTGTTAATATTACACGCGAGTTTAATTGTTTAGCAGTGATTGTAGTATAGTGGTCTCGGTATTATTAACACTAGTAGTAGTAGTAGTCGTTAATCTGTGAGCCCGACCTGCTTAATAACAATAAAAACGCTGAACCTTCTTCCGTCGTGTAGAAGACATCATTACCCGCGCGTGATCGTATTCCTCTTAACTATATTGATTACGATAATCGGTTTTCGGGGGAAATGAGCATGTCCGATAACGTGTTTACGCAAATCGGTGGCATGCGTACGGTATAAATTATTATTTTTTGGATACGGTATGCAATTTTTGGCCACGTTCTGTTACCATCCTAATTAGTAAAGTTATATTTTGAGGTGTATGTCTATATCGAGTGATCTGAAGTGAATTGTTTACGTTTTTTAACTTCAGATATCCGTTGTGCGATTTGTATTTTATTTTTACCTGTGTATTACGCGCGATCGCTTGACTTAGGCCTTTAGCCTATTGTCAAGATTTCACATGTGCTTCTGACACCATAGGTATTCCTCCGTACCTATCTCCCGCTGCCACCGTGCAACGTGACACTTAATATAATTATGAATTTTACCGCGGGGCCGCGCCCGGAGCTTCGTTAGAAATATTTGCATGTAACATATACCTAGTTATAAATAACAATATAGGAAGTATTTATGAGTGATTCGACGTAATTGGTGTGAATCATGTTTTTGGGATCGTGTGTACTGATTACACGAGAACACCAACGTATATATTTCAAAGGGTGTAAATACATAAAATTTTGTTTCGTGGTGGTGAACATGGGTTGTAATGTTACAATTATGTGCATTTTTTATCTTCGTAATTTCCCTCTGAAATAATATTTATTTATGCGATGATTCCAGCCTTTCTTAGAATATGCAAACGTTACATTATTGGTAAATAATAATAATAATTATTTATCAATTTTAATTATATTAATAATAATAATAATAATAATCATAATGATTCGTGTTAATCGAAAAATCGCTGAGTGTGCGACTTGTTATACACTTGTTCGTTTTAGTAAAAATAATTGATTGTTGTTTATGTACGATATGTTTTTTTTTCACGAAGGTTTGCACATTTTTTTTTATACACTTGGTAAAGTGGAGATTGTTACATAAAAGTGCACGCGGTTGATGAATAAAAAAAAGCTTAGTAGTCTCGACTGCGTTTCGCGATTATCTTTAATGCTCACTGCGGAGAGGGGAACGAATAAGTAAGAAAAATGCTAACATAGGCATTTTCTTCAACCATTGTACTGAAACATTCAATGTTATTATAGTTTAGTAACTAATTTAGTAAATAATGTAGAAATCGTTTTTACTCATTAATAATAATATTAATATTGTAACATTAATATTATTTTGATCATAATGTTTTGTGTATCAGCGAAATTCGAAGCACAGTTTTTTTCATAAATATATTTTTTGGGCTGTGGTTCCTGTACTCCGGATCGTTTAGTAATCGCTTTGTTCTTTCGGACCAACGGCTGTCGCCGGGCTCGTGGTCTTACCTCGATAAAAAACAATCATGTAACAACTGTTTTTTATAGTAAAACATGAACAATTGTAACAACAATCATCCCTCGTGCGTGTAATAACAACACCAGTGTTTTACGATAATAATAATATCGGTCAAAATGATTGTAATATTATTATCATCGTGTGCCGTCCGCGTATAGATTTTGATAATGATTATTAAAAGTGGTCGTCGTTGTCAAGGCGAACTGTAATAACCACAATTGGTGGTGGCGGCCGACGCGGTAATTGAGGCACCATAAATGGAAGGGCGACGATGACAATGCGAAAAGAGCGCGTTTTAACTGGTCTGCACGGCTGGCGGCACGACGACGAGACTTGGTTCGTGGTCGTCTGCGGCCGGAGGGGTAGGGGGCTTCACTGGACGTAACCGTCATCCGTGTGCGGCGGCGGGGCCCACGTCTTTCTACTTCATACCCAGAAACACGCGCCGCCGCCGCCGCCGCCACACCGGTCTACGTGTTTCTCCGCTGCCCCTGTCTATCGTGTGTTGTATTCACTTTCGTGATCGGCGTTACGTTGCTGCTTGCGCGCGCGCGGCGTTCACACCGGGACGCAACCGCGTTATGCGCGCCTATTCCGTGTGCATGTGTTCCTCCCTCGTGTAACCGCCTTATGGAATTCTCACTCGCCTCCCGGCGGTCGTATTTAATCGAATCACGATGCTTTTCACGATTACATTGTGTATACGTTGTTTGTGCGAGCGAGTGCGTGTGTTTACGTACCCATTACAATATGCAATGTGGCACGGTGTATTATATCCGTAGTAAAACCGCGCGCGAACAACACAACACCTCCACCGAAGTAACAACGACTTGTTCCGTTTGTCGTTGGTTTTTTTTTTTTCTCTTTGCCTTCCTTGTTTCCCTATGATTTTTTTTTTTCTTGTTATACTTCCCTGTACGACGGTTTTCTCTGGTCTATTTATTAACTATACTTACCATTGGCGGATTAAAAGCGTGCAACACAATAATTGCGGTAACACGCGTGCCGCCGCCGATCCGTGATTGGTTTTTCGTGTTTCGACCGCGAGTTATTTAAATGATAATTGGACACACTACTTATTACGGTTATCCCGATGTATATTGCAATATTCGTATCAGCTTCTATTTCGGTTTTTATCGTATACGCCGCTGCTGCACGCGGCCTGAGTATTTCGGTGACTGATGTTTTTCGTATTTTATTATTATTTTTTTATTTTTGCTGTTTCCCGCGGACAATGTACGTTCGATTGATATTTTTGCATTTACGTCGGTTTTTGATGTGAAACGAATAATAATAATAATAATGTTTCGTATTTTTCCCCGAATCCACAATACAACTGTATGTCCCCTTTATTCGTGTAACATCTGTCATTATTATAACGGTGTATTTTAAAAATTACCTATATTGTGAGCGAAGCGGTGATTTGCATTACAAAACGTTATATTTCTCCCAAACAGTTAGCTGTTAACGATTATTTTCTGTAGCCTTGAAATGTACGGTAGTCTGAGGAAAGGTAAAAAAAAATATTTGTCGCGGTATATACGTTTCTACTATTGTAAACGATATTGTTATTAACAAATCGGTTGTAATTACTAATAGAAAATGTTCCTCGAGACTGGGCAAACGCCGTGAAATTAATACGTCTGGGATAACATTGCTCGCGTTCGTTTATTGAGGAAACGTAATTTTTTTTATGCTTACACGCTCGTGTATATATATATTTGTTTTTAACGCTGACAAAGCAAAAATCACGACATCGATTTCTTCTGTACGCTGTTGTGTGGGCACGGTATTAAAAATTTCATTGCCCGGAGCGTTGGTAATATGAACCTGTTTAGTATTACAACGTGAGCTCACAAATATACACTCGCGCGCACTCACATACACTTACATGTACATACGTAGGCACACGCATTTATGCACACGCTCTCGCGCGCATACGCACACACGTACATACGAGACCAACGCGCTGTCAGTCGGCCATAACGAGGCCGGCCGCATTGCACGACTATCATCGTCGTCGTTTGTTTCGGTTAAAGCGATGATGGTGGTGGTGGTGGTGGCGGCGGTGGTGTTGGTCGTCGTTGCACGCGAGACGTGCAGTACAACAAATCGGTAATTTAATGAAACAACGAAGTGAGTTTGGCGTGGCCATGCATCATAATATATGTGCGTTGTTCCGCGATCGGTCGTGTAGCGGCGCGGCGGCGGCGGCAGTACCACCAGCAGTTGCTCGACAATACTCTGGCAGTTCCAACACGATATAATGGCGGGAAATGGTCGCGCGGGGAGCAGCTGCTCTCTCGTTCGTCTCTCCCGCCAATATATACGCTAAAACAGTTAATCGAAGTGTACGTACCTATACCAGCTGCTGTTGTATTGTCGTCGTGGTTGATTATAAATCGTTCATGCAATTCTATTATTATTTTTTTCGTCGGTAATGTTGCATATTTTCAACAGACGTTCACTTTTCTCAAAAAGAAAATCTATTCGTCGTATAATGTTTGTGTTCTATTATTTAATGTTCGATGTTGCCGTCATGTGCTTGGAGAAGACGAGACTCCCCTCCATCGAAGCGCGGTTTAACGCTGATCAACCTTTTGTCTACAATCAATCGTGTGCTGCGTGCATTATAATGATAATAACAAATTGTTTGCGTACCTGCTTACCGGCCAGGTGGTTTTTGTGTCGATTTTCAACGAAAATATTTAATTACGTGTACTCTAATTTTTGATAACTTGCAAGTATTCTTCGCTAGGCGACATGCTATAATTGTCTCTTTTTCAATTCATTAGTTTCTGATACAGTTCGAAACAGGGGCGTATTTAGACTTCTAGGGGGGGGCTCAAATTTTTTCTTTAATGATGCTTCAAAATTTACAAGTAAAATTGTTGGTAATATTTAAATCAAATGAATCCTAAAAATTTGTGGTTTTTTTTTTTTTTAATGCCGGATCCACTTACAATCGGCTTTTGTGTAGTTCTTCTTTAACACCTGTCTGTGTTTTAAAATTTACGCTTGTATTTTATTTGATTTTACACTGAGTATAGACCCGACAAAAAGCCCAATTTATTACACTCAACATTGACCGTGATGTTAGCACTGAAAACAATAATATATAAATCATCATACTCGTCCGTTCGCCTTTATTTACTTATATTTTAATATGTTTTTCTGTAATTTTTCTTATCACTCATTCGTATATTATGACAAACATTTTTGTAAAAAACCAAAATTGTTAACTAATTCGATTTCGTTATAAAACGATACACATTTAAAAAATTTGAAATGTGCTTGCATATAATTGATTCCTTATGTACGGATTCAGGGGGATTCGCCCCCTCTTAATACGCCCCTGGTCCGAGATTTGTACGTTTCTTTTAATATTAACATAACTGTTAATTTTGTGAGTGTGTTCGTATAACACTACACTTGATGCTGTTTTGTTGCATTAAATTACATATGATTATTAATTATTAATCAATGTCTTAGAGTATTCTTGTATTACAATTTAGAATTTTGTTGTTTTGTATATTTACCAATACCGAGTGAATAATACTTAATACCGAGAGTTTAATTTTATAATTATCAACTAACTCTATATTTGAGTCATTATGTCTAACAATTTTTTGAAAAAGTAATAGTTTATACAATTCACTAGATAAAGATTTAAAGATCTTATGAGAGGGCACATTACAATTTTTCTGTAAAAACAACAATTCTTGAAGTACCTCAATAAATATATATTATATATTTTAATTGCTTATATTTATTGCCTTTAATTATGGAGTTTTAATACATCTGAAATCTAAAATGTTGGATATGAAATATAAGGGAATAACTAAGTTAGTACTTATCAAATGTTAGTTTAGGGTAGGTATTAACTATAACTTGAAGTATGCGATTAAATTGTTTATGTCTATTGTTCATATTTATGAATCATAGTTAAATTTTTGATTAAAATCATAAAATATATTATTTGTCTTTTTTTTTTTGGGGGGGGGGGGTTATGAATTTCACAAAATCATTGGCAATATGAAAGATTTTGAGGGTATACAATTTCTATATATAATTTTCTCAATAATTTTAGTCATCGTTTAACTATTTAATTATAGTATTCTGTAAGACAAATATTGAAATATTCTTTTAAAATTTCTATAAAATTTGATTCAGTAACTTTTTTTGAATTTTTTTTATGTATTCATATAAATATTCATTTAATATTCATATAATGTAAATAGGTGGTTATTTACATGGTTAGATCGTGTATGATCATTGGATATATTTTATCTAAGTAGGTATGTACTATTTAACTTTAATTTTATCTTGATTTAACCAATATTTAGCAGTTTATTTGTTAATTACATATATTTTAATATTCTGGTTAACTTTGTAGTAATATTGTTCATTGCCATGTGTTAGTAATCATTTATTGAATGAAAATATCTACGTCACATAATTAATTAAATTTAAATGTTTATTAAATGTTATCAGTGTAATTGTTTGTACCTTTCGTGTTAATAATAACACTATAAGATTATAATAACGCACTAAAAATTAAATGGATAGTTTGAACTTAGATATTTTTATAACAAAACTGGATATTATTCTATACAAAAATATACAAAAAAATAAAAAAAAAAACATTTAATATATTAAACGCACAATTAAATAAAATTGTTATATATTTAATAAACAGAAGACAAACTATGATTACATTTTTAGTGCGTTTAATATTTTTTTAAATGTTTTTTTTTTAAATTTTTGTGTATTTTTTTTTAGGAATTGGTTTCAAAATGTTGACACTCTCCATAAGAAACAGAAGCAAATCTAAAAGAACCCAAACACCAAAAATTGATGAATTATTAGAATCTATTGGATTAATGAGACATGTTGTACCCAGAGATGGTAATAGTTTATTCAGGTGCATTTCTCAGTGTGTGTTTCTAACTCAAAGTTGTTTTATGACTGTCCGACAACATCTATTACAATTTTCTATTTTGCAAACCAAAGAATTCAATCATTTGACACAGTTATCAGTTAGCAAGTATGAAAGAAAAATTACTGATACCAAATTAGATGGTGAATTGTTGGATATGCATATTGCTGCTAAGCTGTACAAAATAAATATTGCATTATATGTAGATGATGCTCAACCTTTTGTTCCTCTAATTATTGAAACTCCAAACTCTACAAAAACTTTAAATATATGTCTTAATTATGAAAAAACTTATGATCTAGTACTGATCAAAGAATCTGTTGTGAATATTTCATTTTGTCAAGCTATTGTGTATGAAATGTTGTATAATAATGTTTTCGAGCTATCTGGTGTAGATTTTGCTGTGAAGGAAATGTTGTTTGAAAGAAACTTACCATCTTCTAGGTCTAATGACCGAGTTACTTTGGAAAAAAGAGCTACTTTAACAGATATGAAAGAACTGCTTGAATTAGGTATCACTCCATTTCCATTTAAAGTCGCTAAAGCTTTGACACCAAAATTGTATCGAAACACGGAGTATGATATTTGGTTGAATAACAAAAAAGAAAAATTTTATGGTAGGTGGAATAATTGGGAGTTTAAAGAAGGAAGCAAGTGTATGGTATTAATTGGCAACCAAGAGTATCATTGTTATATTCAACGTATTCTTGGTAAAAATGAACCTGTAGAAGTTTATGTTAAGGATTTAGCACAAAAAATGTATGTTGACTATGATAAGTTGAAATTAATTCCAGTTGAACAAGATATAATAGAGACTCCTTTAAATTTTGATCAAATTTCATCAACTATAGATGATGGTAATAGTTATATTTGTCAAGTTGCTGATACATGTGAACCTCCAGTTCTATTTAGCAACACAGGTTTTATTCAGAGTCCAGCACCAGCAGTTCATGGGGTTTTACCCGGACCAATATTTTCTAATCCTTGTTATGTTCAACCATATCAACAACAACCTGGTCTCCCAATGACTTCTTTAAATTTACCAAATAGTGGAAATGTGATCCCTCCATGGTATATGTCAACACCTCCGCCAATTTTACAGAATGATTTTCGTCCTCATAAAGAGAAAATAGTATTATTAGAACCACCATCCAATTTGAATAAAAATTGTATTATAGCTCCTAATCTTCTAACACCACCCAACTTCATAGATCTTCCATCAAATGCTACTGGACCACATGTTCAACCAATGTTTTCATCTTGGTATAATGGCCACCAACCAAATACTTCGTGTGGATCTGAACAGTGTAATAATGGTAAAGAAAGTGGTGCGACCATGGATTATAATTTTGTGTATCAACCTTGGTATGGACCAGAGTTTGATGTGACTACTGATAAATTGCAACAGTGAATAAATAGACTGATATTATGTCAAATTGACTGAAATAGTTTATTCATGTGATAAAAAAGTGTTATTATTTTATTAATTGTTAAATCATTTTCTTTTAATTTTTAGATATTGTTACAAGAGCGTTATTTTAGTTTTTATACGGTAATTTTTTTGTTCCTTTAAGTTGATCAATTTTGTTTTAATTCTAATTTTTAAAAATAATTAAATTTGTATGTCCAAGGATGGGTTTCATTATTAAAAAGTATTTATTTTATTTTGTTAATTTTATATTTTATTATTAATTGCTCAGTAATTGTATGTCCAAGGATAGGTTTCATTATTAAAAGGTATTTTATTTTGTTAATTTTATATTTTATTATAAATTACTCGGTAACTTATTATGATAAATAAAAAGAGTCAATTTATCAGAAGAGTTGTTTCTATTTTTATGTGTCGTATTATTGGTTAAGAATATGTTTAATGTATCATTTATTAAAGTATGAAGGAAAAAAAAATCATTTTCATAAAGATATAACTTGGTTGAAATTGGATTTAAAATTATAATCTATAATAGAAGAATTTCCTACTCTACTGTAAATATTAAATTTTATAAGTATGTGTGATATTCTTCTCTTTTTTAAAATTTAAAATTTAAAAGAAAATTTAAATATTTTCTTTTTAATTTAAAAATCTGTCTTTTTTAATTCTTATAATCTTTATTATGAAAAACTGATAAATTGTATTATAACTTATTAGATCATTTTTGGCATACCAAGTATTCATTTTTTGAAATTAAATTTTTCCTCATAATTTTTAATTTAAACTGGTCATTACAGAAATATTCTAAGGTCACTATGTATTTCATGTTTTTAACTGTACTATTTGTTATAAATATATCTTAAAGTAATTACTTGATTGATGATTTCTAAACTTGATAATCAATGATTAGGTAGATGAATAGGTTTATGATAATAGGTATGATATTGTGGTGTTAATTGAATAAAGTGTACTGTTTTAAACAATCTACCTACTTTTACTTTGATGTTTTAAGCTAATATCTGATTAGAAACCTGTTAACTGATTGATTGCGATATGCAGCAATATATTTTGAATGTCCTTCAAAAATTCTTGATAATGTTAATATATTTATACACATAATTTTTTTTGTTAAATAAATATTCTGAAATTGTTGTCCTCGATTTTTAAATTATATTATGAATTTTCTATAAAGTGTATGTAATATACATAATAATTTTCTAGTCTACTTTTTAAAATGTATAATATATAACATTATGAACATGATGTCGAAAAACTTAAACTTATTAAATTATGAATTACCATATCGCACCCCTAGAATACAAACAGTATAACTTAGAAATCGTAATTACTGAGAAAATGCAATTAAAGATTTTAAGAATTTTCAAAACCGTCTGACAATATCATTTTTTGTAACATTTAATTTTTTTTTTTAATTAGTTATAATTAATCATTGTTTTCTATTTTCATTGGAGTTTAAGGAATTCCCTAATACTCAAAAACACAATAAAAAATAAATCAACTTTAATAATAAACAATCTTGAAGAGAAAAAAATATATATTTTATTTTTTGATCACATTCTACTTGTAATTAATCTTAAAATAAGATAAAAAAAATAAATATTTATCCCGCGATTTTAGCAGTGGCGCTAACTCAAAATCGAAATTTTTTGAGTTATGCCATTTGTTTTCTAGGGTTGCGAAATGTCGTCGATAAATAGATTTATTTTTTTTTTTTTTGTGCTAAATTTATTCATTAGGATTTATTAACGTCATCCTATGAAAATTTTAAACTAAACTCTTCCGTTTCAATATGTAGTAAAACAAATTAGGAATTGTTAAGAACGTTTGCAAAATTTGACTTTCACTTTTAAAAACCTGTCCCTTTTCAACCATCATCTTCCATAGTTGCTGTTGTCTGGTGAAAGCATACTCATTTTTTACGCGAAAAAAATGGTATTGTTTTATCGTAACTATCGTACCCAATGAATGATAACTCAACAATATAACTACACATATTATGATGATAGAAATCAGAATATATTGCGATCGGGTGGTTCGATAATAAGGAATGGAAAAGGTCTCGGCGCTCCTCTTGACCCTAAACCAGAGAAGAAATGAGAAAAAATCTAAACCGGTTGCGAGTGCATGCTGGTATGAATATTGAATGCGTTGGACACGGATTCATTGATGGCGGCGACGCACAAGCTGCTAATTTATAATCAAAATATTTATAAAATTATATTTTTATCAACATTATCCCAAAATGAAAATTTAGTGAATTATTTAAAGAATTTATAACGGATATGATATTTTATAGAATAATGATATAAAAAGTAACAAAACAATATTTTCTTATTATTAAACTAATTACATTTGTTTGATATATGAATATATTGTTAAAAAAAATATATAAACAGTGAATAAAATTGTATTTTATGGTTGTTTTTAAATTTTTTATGCATTAGTTGACCATACGAATTTTGTTAGACAGTATGAACAAATATAAATATATTTTTTTATACAATAAAATTGATTTACGTTCTGGTGATTTCAAATTCAAACTTGTCGATCAGCACAAATTCTGAACAATCGGCCATTGGCTCATAGACAACTATCGGAAGTAAAATGTCGTTCGCTACAGTGGCAATACTGTCAAATCGACAAACAACACTCATTGTTGTACTCCTCTCTTCCATACCTTATATATGGTGTACATTCGATTCACGTGTAATGTTGTATTATTATAACGGTGTTTCACGTTCGGCCTACGATGATTCGGTTATTGTAAGAAGATAAACCGGGGGATAAATTATCGGGTTGCTATAAAATCGCTATATTCTCAATTTATATTACCGAACAAAAAAAAATTAATTCTCAGTATTATTTTTGTGTTTTAATCTAATAGAAGTAGATCAGCAGGTGTAAACTAAATTTCATAACTCAAAATTTCTGATTTATAATATAATTAATATATCACGTACTCGCTTAATATTTAAGTTTTTTTTTTAATTTTTTTATTTCATAGTAACTTACAGCATATAAGTATGATTTGAACTCTCAAAGTGTTTTATTATTTATGCACGTGGAATAATATATCATACTTTCATAATCCCAAATAATCTTGTACATATTTATTAGTTTATTATTTACTGTATTATAGATTGAATATTATTTTGCAATTAGTAACTGCTTTCTTCTTTTACTAACCATATATTTTTATATAATATTAATGTTTTAATCCTGATTACCTACTCTTGGACGCATAATGTGGTAATAATTACGATAGTGTATGTATTTATTCTGCATAGTTAATTAATAAGTAGTTAAACATGAATTGTTAATTCATTTTAATAAAGAGAAGTATTTTAAAAAAAACTACGTAATGAAAAGGTACTCTTAGATAAATTATCAATATTCGATCAATGCAATTGTGTATATGATTATAACTGATCAGTAGTTTAACGTTTAAAACTTGTTTATGAATTAATATTACATTCTTATTTTTTCTTGTTAAAACGTTGCTACTTACAAAGTTTATAATTTTTTCTCAACACACATTTAAACGCGGAAGTAGTATTTTCTCTGAGTTTTAGTTGCACAATAACTAATAATTGTACATCTGTTTGTCTTGTATGCTTATTGGTAGGTGTGATCGTGTGAGTGTATATTAACTACCGTTTTATTCGTTAGATGTAACTATTTAGAGTAGACATACATAGTTCTATAATTGTTTAAGGGATATTCTAGTATTTTACATTTGCATTTCATTGTTTATTTTATTGTAGTATATCCCATGATTCACGTCTTACTATTTAATACTATGTGTTTCCATTATGATTTCTACTTATATTTCAATTGTTACAAACGGCATACATTGTTGGTGTACAATATACTGGTATTTGATCTGCAGAAATTCGCAATACTATTAAAGTTAATTATACTTTAATTGATCATTAATTATTCATGAATCATAAAATAATCTTGTATATTTATTTAACATGTATTTTATATCTTTCCCTTTGTCTACCTACCTACATAATACACGGTATATTTCAAGAAATAAGAAATTATAAAATCAATATACTGGTATCATTCATTAATAGAGTACCTCCTAGGTTATTAATTTAAGTTTAATGGTTTACTTTTTTTAGTATTATTTTGATAAGAATGAACTATTTGACATACCTATCTTTCTTTATTATTTTATCGTGTCACCTATATAATAATTAATTTCTTGATATTTACGTGTTCAATCTTGTTTTAGCAGAATACAGATAGTTTACACATTGTATTATGCTTTTATTATATTTCGACAAATACTAAAAAATCATTATTTTGCATTATTGTATGTATTATTTATTTTAGTGTGTTTTGGAAATGTCGAATTAAATGATTTGGATTCCCTATAAAACGTGTACTTTTTTAGTATTGTATTATTTTTAGGAACATTTCTAATAATTATCAATTATATATTTTTTTCCTTATTAGTAGATGTTAATTTATTATCAAATTACTGATTTATCAAAATACATTTTAGCTATTTAATTTTATAAACATTGTACTTACATATTATTTATTGTATACATAATATTTATTTTAATTCCATTTTAGTTAAGTTGAATTTACTTTATTTCAAATATAAATTGTTAAATAGGTATTAAAATGTTTATTAGAAGTATAATTTAATTTAATTTTATAAATTTAAAACTTATATTATTCATAGTCCATTCCATAGAATTTTCAACGATATAAACAACTGTATAATAAATAACTGATATATTGTTGTGATGTGTCATTGATTTTACTTATATAATTTATTTGTATAGGTGGTTTTTTTTTATTTCATTGAATATTTGATGAGTTTTAGTTCTTTCGAGCGTAACAATTCCCTCTGTGTTTATGTTTGTGTAACAGACACGCGTTGCCAACATTTTAACAGACCGTTGTCTGATTCAATTAAACTTTTTTTTGTAGTGAGGAAAAGGTGGTTATGTCGGAAAAGCTTTCCGTTTGGGCGGGAACTGTCGTCGGTCAATGTGTGTCCGTTCGTTGTGATGGCGGTGGGTTACTGCAGAGGTAGAACACCATCAACAATCAAAACAAAACTCATATTG